AAATTTGTCATCCAAATCCAATACGATAAAGTCATCGTCATATTGGGTATCTTCAAGCGTATAGTGGATCTTCACAATACGCTTCATGACGGTTACGGATGCGCCTGTCGCAAGACGTACCGTCATCCTCGTAGGAGGTGTGTCACATTCACTGAGCTTAAAGTGACCATCTTCTAGCGACTGGCGTCGCACAATATTGTTGGACGCCCCACAATCGACTAGAGCTCGAAGGGACAACTTATTCGTCACTTCGAGTTTCAAGGTAATGAGTGAGATCTCATTACCTAGAGCAGCAACGCACAACGTTTGTGTGTTGGGAGCAACCTTCATCAAGAGGCCTACAAATTCTCTTGATGTTGCTGGACCAGTAGGGTGCTCCGCACCTACTGATCCTGTCCGTTTTTGACGGTCCATCTCGTTGTTGCGTCTTTGCACCAACAGCGGACCCTCGTCCCTGCCCCTTTCTCATGGGTGGACGGTCACTACGCCCAGTGTTGTGAGACACTGGACGAGGGGCACTACACTCGTAAGCGTAGTGTCCTGTCTTTTGACATCTGTTGCATCTCTGCAACTTCTTGTAGTCTGTAGAGCGAGCTTTCTCGCTCTCTACATAACAGAGTTCCATCGGCTTTGGACCTCCCATGTCATATCGTCTCGGTTGACGATATGATGTCGAGTTGGCGCGAGCCTGTCTCAGACTGAAGTCTTCCTGCTCCGCAATGGAAATGGCTTGCTCTAGTGAATCTAGTTCAAGTCGGAGCAGGTGAGTCTTGACGGGACCATCCGCAAGACCCTGCATGAACACCGAAACCAACGTGTGTTCATCAACCGGGTTGGAACTTATACAGCTCGTGAGATGTCGTATAAGTTGCGCGTAAGCGTGCACATCACGCTTACCCTGCTTGAGCTTCAAGAGTTCGGTTCGAGCTCTGAACTCAGCTCTAGGCAGTTCAAACGTTTGTCTGAGCCGCGACTTGAAGACTTACAACGACCTAAACGCATATGGGTCGTGCAACTTGAGCCCCAGTGCCCAAGTCTTGGCACGTCCTGCCAGATTTGACTGGGCAAATGCAACTTGAATTTCCCCATCGTCGTTGCGACGCGCCCTTATGGTGTCATCCAATTCGACGAACCATCTCAAGAGGGAGTCCTCTTCGACTCCCCTATACTTGGAGATGTCAATCTTCAAGGTTTCGGGTCGACGCGAGTGCATCGACCCACCAGCAGCAGCCTGCTGCTGTCTCAACAGTTCAAACTGTTGAGCACCCTGTTCTCTCAACAACTCTGCTTGTTGAGAACCTTGTTGGTGAAGCAAGGCTACTTTCTCGCGTTCGGCGTCAAGTTCATTTAGAATGAACTTGGCGATAGTAGCATGTTAGGCATCTCTACTGAGATCCTCTAGCATGACGATAACAGCATGGATGCCCATGGTTGAACCCTTTCGTTCAACCGCATCCCATTCGACATCGCTCAAATGGGAGTAGCCGTCACGCGTAGCGTGAAAGCTTTGGTAATCTTCATCATCCAACATATTCATGTTAGATGTGAACGTGGTCCTTGACGGACTACGAAGTGCTACCAGGTGTTACGGGGCACCCTGAAGCTTGTACTGGTGACAGTACAAGCTACTTATTCTGATGACAGAATAAGGCGGTGCCTCGAAACTTCACGTACATTCGTACGTGCAGAGGAAGATGGTAAGAAGAAGCGAGTACTTGGTTAAAGTAAAAAGTAGAACTGTATTTATAATAGTTAATGTCTGCAATAAATCACTATTTATCTTCATCTAACTGTGTCTAAATACAAATGTGCAAATCAACTATCTGCTCACCACTCATTGCGTGCGTCTGTCGTGGCGCGTCTTCGTTGGATGATAAAATGGCCCACATCAACCAATTAGGAACTACTCGTAAGTGCTACAGAATATTTTTCCTTGTGACAAGATTCTGAGAATATAACTCTTATAGTTATATTCTATTAACAATTTCTTGCAAATTGTTATGTAACGATTCACCCCGTTACACAAATGCTGACACACGCATAATCTGTAAGTCCGCGAGGGTGCATGCCTGCAGCAGGGGGTATAGACTTCTAGAAAAGGTCCTAATTATTTTTTTATCCAGGATTTACAAATTCAAATCTAAGCTATTAGTCGCCCAGTAAGTTATGTGTTCCTGTGTGAACGTATCTACAAGGATCGGTATCTCGTCGATATATTGCAGCAAGAGAGTCTGGCCCGTCCTAGTGACAATCAGGTGATCCTGTATCTGCTGTATGGAGATCCTTTGGTTCCGTTCGACCTTCTTCCATTCCTCCCTCCCGGATGCGAGCAAAGAGCATTTTTTCGTGCTAATATTCGGGTGGAGACCTAAAGATTATTGGCAAGGCAGATAGGCCGGAGATAAGCTCCACGTCTCGGAGGCGGAAGGGTCCTGGATTGTCCATACTAACCACGCCTGTAAATGACGATCAGGTTTCCGTATAAGCCACTGCATGGCGTGCGTTAAATGATGTGCTCACTCGGCAACATCATTGGAGATGAGACAGATTCCTCCTGCTCCCCGTGGGGCATAAGAAGACCTGGTTTCACTTTGCGTCTTCTCCTGTCCGTGGACGCTGATTAATTTCACGAAAACTGCTTTCTACGCTTATGTAATTTGCTCCTAGAACAATGGGGCAACCTAAAGACGTCCAATGCGAATAATACTGCTGGCAACATAATAGAATTTAACAGCGAAGTTCGGACGGCCACACCCGAAGAGATAGTAGCTGCTGTCGCGAGGCGCTTTCTATCGTTTCGTATGCGTAAAGTCTGATTGGCACCCACCAGGTCTCCTGTTCCCGCATAAATTTTATGTATCGAGTAGTATCGCCGTGGTGAAGCATTGCTATTTTGGCGTGGTTGGCGAGGTCCATTGCCGCATTCGATGAAAGCACTCTTCTTCTGCTGCAACCATAGTACAGACAGCTCACTGGACCAGTGGACGATTTTTATGACATAGAGTACATGATCTGCACGTTGAAGAAAGACGCTTCAGTCATTGACAGAAGCAAAGAATTTCTGCTCTTATCAGAAAATCGGGAATGCCGCAGTCCTTATAACGTGGGCTTTTGTAACAGTGCAATGGCTAGGATTTCGGCTACCAGCAGGAAAAGAAGTGGAGATAACGAACAACCCTGTCGGATCCCTGTGCAAACAGGTGCGGGGTCGGATAGAATGCCATTGACTAAAAATCTCGCCATGGTGTTGGTGTGTAGATATCTTACCATTGTAATACAGTTCCCGTTACCCGAACGCCCACATCACTTCGAATAAAAAAATCCGCGATACCGTATCGTATTTCTTTCGAGAATCAAGGAGCAAAGTGGCTCTACTCGATGCTGATATTCGTTCCGGTTCATGTGCCGCCTAATTTAATGAGCCATAATTGTTATGACAGTCACAAGTATCTGTCTTCCATATACAAAACCCTGTTGCGGATCCTGAATTGGAACTCTAATGACGTCTTGGACACCACGCGATGTCACCTTAGCGACTATATTGTAGACTGTCTGTCACAGAGTGATAGGTCTGTTTACCATTGCACTAATCTAATCAACTTTTATTTGAAATGGGATAATCAAACCTTCCAGAAAAAAATGAGGAGGGATCAGGCCTTGCAAGAGTTCGTTGCCAATTGTGACAAGGGCAGATGCCAGAAGCACTATAAATAGCTTTCAGAAAGTCATTATTCAGTCATTCCAGGACAACGGCTTTACGAATGTCCATCTCTCTGATGGCAGTCATTACTTCTGAGAGCGATATGGGCATCATAAGCCGTGCGTTGTCTTCTAGTAAAAGAACGCGATCGGATGGCATGGTGATAAAGTCGCTTATATCCTGTTTAAATTTCATTTCGGTACTATTTGGTTAGGGCGGCCGAGAATCGAACTCCATTCTGATGCGAAGCGGTTCGCAATCGTACCTCACGGCAAAAGGTCTGCACGTGGATCCGAAGCAACCTAGTAATAGTTTGGTCTTTCCTGGTTTAAGGCACGTTCAATTTTCCATCGCAGATTTTCCATGGCTCGTTCCAATCGCAAGCCGTGATAGGTGGTCCGTACCGTACGAAGATCGTCCTGAATTGTCTGAAGCTTACCGCCGAAAAGATGTGTGCGCGTTTGCATCCGTAAACTCCGACGAATTCTGCGCAACGTTGATTGTCACGATTTCTAATGCGCCTGAGACTCGTGTCACACTTCTGTACTGTCGTATCCCATGATCTTAAGTCGACGTTGTGGCCGATTCCCATGCTCATTATCTCGTCCACGAGGTCACCGTGGTCTTCGGTCGGCGTCGAACTGCGGATTGGATATATATTACGGGCCGCGGTTGACCGTGATCACCCACGCGCTGGCCTTTGGATGAAATGTGTAACGTTATTTGTGTAACGGGGCACCCTGAAGCTTGTACTGATGACAGTACAAGCTACTTATTCTGATGACAGAATAAGGCGGTGCCTCGGAACTTCACGTACACTCGTACGTTCAGAGGAAGACGGTAAGGAGAAGCGAGTACTTGGTTAAAGTAAAAAGTAGAACTGTATTTATAATAGTTAATGTCTGCAATAAATCACTGTTTATCTTCATCTAACTATGTCTGAATACAAATGTGTACATCAACTATCTGCTCACCACTCATTGCGTGCGTCTGTCGTGGCGCGTCTTCGTTGGATGATAAAATGGCCCACATCAACCAATTAGGAACTACTCGTAAGTGCTACAGAATATTTTTCCTTGTGACAAGATTCTGAGAATATAACTCTTATAGTTATATTCTGTTAACAATTTCTTGCAAATTGTTATGTAACGGTTAACCCCGTTACATCACCCCCTTAACCATCGGTCACTTTAGTGACTGGTTGACTAAATGGATACTCGTCCTAAATCATTTGGGACAGGGTTTGCACTTGTTGGTCCGAGTCCACTTCCCAACATTTCACCGCATGGTTAACAAGCCCATGCGGTGCGCGAGCAAGGCCGCCGAGAGCGCGTCTGCACGTCTCTGTGCGGGCGCCGAAGCAGAAACCGCAGCAACTGATGTCTCATCGGTTGCTGAAGCGACCCAGCCTGTGTCACTTGGTGATGCAGGCGCTGGTCATGAAGACACTCATGTCTTCACAGAGTACGAGCTCGGTGTCTCATACTCTCCTGATACGGAAGACGGATCCGTATCGACGGCGATTGAATCCAAGCCGCCTGCCAAGCGTGGCATGGACGATGCTTTGCGTCGCAGAATCTTTGGTTCATCTGATGAATAAGATGAACCATCGCCGAAGCGAAGGCGCTCGAGGTCGCGATACTCGGGCGCTAACAGTGGTGTCGGTTCTCCTATGGACACCACTTCGTAACGAGGTGCCAGTACTTCTATCGGCACATCGCAGAATGAGCGGGATCGCAGAGTGTTGCGTCTCGCTCCCGAGAAGAAGGCATGGATGCCTCCCAAATCCGTCATGGATCACTTGTCGGCGACGACGAGTGATCGTTATCGAACACGGCTGTTCGATTCGTCAAGGATCCACCACCTTGACCCCAGCGCGAAAAACTATCGTGCTGAGAATGATTTCTTCATCGATGCTTTCTTTAGAAATCGATGGTACAGTGGGAATCACAAGCGTGATGGTCCCTCACTGCTTCAGGCGTGGAACGCCTACATCCATAACCTTGAGGATGTAGGTCGTGACGCTTGGAACGACAAACTTATCAAAGCTCGTGATAAGTTTGAAAAGCGAACCCCGACAGGTGCACGCTACAAGCTGCATCGTCTGTCTAGGGAGAGTGGGTTGCCCTGCCTCTCATGGGGAGACTCGTGCCCATGTTGTGTGATCAACGCTGCGCGCGCACCTAAGGAGGCTTACCTCCTTACCAGCCCGTTGTGGCGCGTACGTATCTCTACTGAGATGTACGAAGGGATTGACAACCTGAAATCCCTTTTACGACCGTGCCGGGAAGACTTTCTCCGGCGGTCCTTCTGCGGCACAGGATGTGCCTCGTCGTACTGCTCAACCAGACCCAGTACGTCAATTATCAGTTGGGAGCGGGGCTACCAAGTATCCCAGGACGGGAAATAACCGCGCCACCGGACGAGATAACTCGTCCGACGTCCGTTCGCGTCGCGGTGGTTCAACAGCTGATCAAACAGATTGCGCTGACCACCGCGAGAGTCCTCTAATGGAGGTGGAGGAGGGAAAACGCTCTCCAAACTATCGTGGGGAAGCGTGTATCCCCGAGAGCCTCTTTAATCGCGTAACGCAAGCGTTCCGCGGCGATCTCGAACCTGAGCGGGACAGGCGTCTTCAACTGGCGGACACTGTCTTGAAGCATCGAGCTGAGTTTGCCTTTGCTCAGCTTGAGAACGAGAGATCTCTGACATCTCTTCGTGACGAGCTAAGGGTAGCTCGTGGGGATGTTGACCGGTCTCGGGCTGAGATAACTGCTCTTCAGACCCTTGTCGATGGCCATTATCGGGAGCACAAGGCTCTCTGTGAGATGCTTGAGCGCAAGGGCGTTCTTCATCGGAAGAAGCAGCGTACTGATGGTACGGCTTAAGCTGACCAACGTAAAACATGGGATGCGTTCGCATCTTACGTGGTAACTCGATCGTGTATGCATTGCCTAGGCGGTGCAATGCACGAAATGGGCCGATGTACTTGGGTAGTAGTTTACTGCTACCCAAGTTAGTCACTACATGCTTTGGTAGATTAACCGTAGACAGTAGGACTAAGTCACCTTTATTAAATAAAAGAGTGTTTGCCCTTCCATTCTTGTCAGCATTTTGCTTTTGCTTATCCACCGCTTCGGCGAAGGAGTCTTGCACAAAACGGACTACCGTTTCACGAGCCAGTATGAACTCATCTGATGACTCGTTAGCTTCAGTGCGCTGTGAGCGCACTGCAGCAACATCAACCTTTTCTTCAGTGAGGGCTTCCGCACTCTCACTGGCATCATCTTTTTCGATATCGATGTTATCGATATCGGCATCAAACGCAATGACCTCTTCGTCAGAGCGTGATGAGCGTGAACCAAATCGGTTTTTGCTCGCGCGAGTCCCTCCCCCCCTTAAATCAGAGTTACACTCTAGTAAGGTGGGTACACGCGGATGGCGCAAGCCATTCACGTAAAACGGTGTATGTGTCGTGGACGCATGCACCGAGTTGTTAATGGCAAACTCTACTATTGGCAAAAACTCACTCCAACTCTTAAAGGAGTGTACGTATCCTCGAAGTATCTCTTCAAGGCCACGATTGGCACGTTCCGTCTGACCATCTGACTCTGGATGATCAGATGTCGACATCTTCAAGCGCGTTCCGAGTGATTTGAACACGGAACGCCAGAAATCAGCAGTGAATCGTGGATCTTTGTCTGATACGAGTTCACGGGGCAACCCATGAAGTCGGAAGATGGTGTCGATAAAGACACAAGCACAGCCACTTGCCGTGATTGTCTCTGGTACAGCCACAAGGTGTACCATTTTGCTGAATCTGTCAACAAATACGAGAATACCCGTATTCCCGCGTGCGTCTTTGGGTAACCCGAAGACGAAATCCATTGAGATGGATTCCCAGCACTCAGCCGGAACCGGTAGAGGCTGTAAAGGTGCACGCAGTGAAGGACTTGACTTCACTCGTTGGCAGACTTCGCATGCGCGAACATACTTTCGCACAAACTGATACTGGCGGGGCCAGTAAAAGTCTCGACTCACCGTGAGATATGTTTTCTCCCGGCCACGATGTCCTCCTATAGGAGCATCGTGATACTCGAACATGATCCGCAAACGCAGATCAGTATCATCTGGAATGACAACACGTGGTGTGTCACCAGAAACGGCTGTATCATACAGTGAACCGTTACGAGTAGTGTATCGATCTGATGCAGATCGATACGCAGGCGACAATCGTTTCAACGATTCTCGAGATGGTTGGGAGAGATGTGTCAACAACTTCACAATCTCACCATCTTGGGAATACGCCCGCCTCACATCATCATGTAATGTTAAAGATGGTATTGAGGACGTCATAACCGCAACAGTGGCTGTCTCACTGTTGGGTTTCACAACTGTTTCGAAGTCGGGACGACGTGAGAGTGCATCAGCGACGACATTAAGTCGTCCTGGTTTGTACTATACCGTAAAGTTGCATTCTGCAAAGAATGACAACCACCTCGCCATTCGTTGTGAAAGGTGCGGGCTGTTCACTGCCGTGCGTAATGACGCATGGTCAGTGTAAACAATGAAGGGTCTATCTCCTAATAGATAGAATCTGAACTTCGCGAGTGCATACTTCATGGCAAGGAGTTACTTTTCATGCACTGGATAGTTCCGCTCAGCTGGTTGCAGCTGACGCGACTGATAGCAGACGACGCGTTCAACGCCTTCAAGATCGTACTGCATTAATGCACAGCCGATTGCAAAATCGCTGGCATCACAGACCACATGAAATGGCCCGTCCTGATCAGCAATTGCTAGGACTAGGGATTGTATCAAGCTCTGATACCATCAAAGGAGCGCTGACATTCAGCGTTCCATAACCACCTCTCGTTCTTTTTCAACAAACGAGAGAGGTGCACAGTCATCTCGGCGTAATTGCGTGAATACTTATGCAAATACGCCGCTAGCCCAAGGAATTTTCGAAGACCTTTGACATCAACCGGCACAGGCCAGTCGGTGATCGCTTTGATCTTTTCGGGATCAGGACGTACACCGCTCTTTCCAACGATGCACCCAAGAAGTGGTATTTCGCTTGCTACAAATATACACTTCTTGAGGTTTGCATACAATTGATGATTTCGCATGATTGTAAGAACCTGTCGGACGTGGTACCTGTGAACCTCAACTTCCGACTTTCCATCCATAGCTCGACTATGAATGAATACGTCATCGAAATAACTCGGTGCGAATTCTCGCACTGGTCTCAACGGATGTGGTACACATCTGTTGAACGTGGCAGGGGCATTACTAAGCCCTTGTGGCATTACTAGCCATTCCCAGAGCATGCCGCTAGGCGTGCTAACTGCGGTATACGGTATATCCGTTCCCGCATAAGGATTTGATAGAAGCCATCCAATAAATCCATGGACGAAAAGATGGTACTCTTTGACATACCATCAATGATTACGTCCTTCCTTGGTATCGGCGTCCGAGCCGGTACCGTTGCAGCATTCAACTTGTTAAATGCATGCACTATCCGCCACCCTCCTGTTGCTTTTCGCACACAGAAGGTCGGAGAGCTATGTGGGGAAGTTGATTCCCTCACATGGCCCGCAGCTAAACGATCGGCAAAGAACTTGTCGATCGCAAGTACTTGTTCACGAGGCAGTGGCCACTGCTTCATGACACAGTACTTCGAGCTTGGTTTAATCTCGACCTCGTGTCGAGTACCTTTATCCTTCGGTAACTTGCACGGAACAGTTTCAGGGAATACATCCTTGAATTTGACCAAATCGTTATGCAAAGGATTCGTCTGGAGCGATTCCCACGATTGGGAGTCATATCGCTCAACTCGTGTCTTTTCATCTAGGACACTCTCGTCCATAGATGAACTACTGAGAACTCTCTCGTTCTCAGTAAACACTGTTGCTGACCTTATGTCGGTTACACACTCGTCGTCAGCGACGAGTACGCAGATCTGCTTGACTTTGCCACTACGCAGATCACGCAAGAACCTTTTTTGTTCGAGCGTTGGCAACTGAGTGATCTCCGAAGTTTACTTCGGAGGCGCAATCAGATCAAGTGTACAAGCGCCTACACTTGATCCGTTATTCACTATGACATTCAATGTCTCTGTCATTTCCCGGGGACTTATTCCCTCAGGCCTCGAAGGACTTATTCCTTCGGCTTCCCGGGGACTTATTCCCGCGGGTTTCGGGGAACTTATTTCCACCGTATTTGTAATCTTGGGACTTATTCCCTTTACTTCCTCTAGCTGGGGTTGCGCAACCACAGCGAGATACTCTACGAAAGACTCTCCAGTCGATCTAGGATTATCGTTTCGCTTAACCTGAGCGATCGATTGTTTCTCTTCTAGATGTTCCCCGCTAGGGATGCATCTTTGTCCCGGTCCACTCGACTTATTCGAGTGGTGGACCTTCGGCGCAGCCTGTGTTTCCTCACAGCCGCCGGAACTTTGCTCCGAAGTGTAACCGTTTGGTACACTAAGGTTTTGTGCATTCGTACTAACGACCGTACCACAAGTGAGGCCATCGCACCCACTCGTAGTACATCCACACGCTTGTGGACGCTCCAAAACGTTCATCAGATGGCCATCTGATGAACAAGCGGCAGGCATCGTTACTGTCCGATGTTGCCAGATTACTCGTGGTTCGTACCTTCTGAGCCACGGTATCCCAAGGATGACATCAAATTTGTCATCCAAATCCAATACGATAAAGTCATCGTCATATTGGGTATCTTCAAGCGTATAGTGGATCTTCACAATACGCTTCATGACGGTTACGGATGCGCCTGTCGCAAGACGTACCGTCATCCTCGTAGGAGGTGTGTCACATTCACTGAGCTTAAAGTGACCATCTTCTAGCGACTGGCGTCGCACAATATTGTTGGACGCCCCACAGTTGACTAGAGCTCGAAGGGACAACTTATTCGTCACTTTGATTTTCAAGGTATGAGTGAGACCTCATTACCTAGAGCAGCAACGCACAACGTTTGTGTGTTGGGAGCAACCTTCATCAAGAGGCCTACAAATTCTCTTGACGTTGCTGGACCAGTAGGGTGCTCCGCACCTACTGATCCTGTCCGTTTTTTGACGGTCCATCTCGTTGTTGCGTCTTTGCACCAACAGCGGACCCTCGTCCCTGCCCCTTTCTCATGGGTGGACGGTCACTACGCCCAGTGTTGTGAGACACTGGACGAGGGGCACTACACTCGTAAGCGTAGTGTCCTGTCTTTTGACATCTGTTGCATCTCTGCAACTTCTTGTAGTCTGTAGAGCGAGCTTTCTCGCTCTCTACATAACAGAGTTCCATCGGCTTTGGACCTCCCATGTCATATCGTCTCGGTTGACGATATGATGTCGAGTTGGCGCGAGCCTGTCTCAGACTGAAGTCTTCCTGCTCCGCAATTGAAATGGCTTGTTCTAGTGAATCTAGTTCAAGTCGGAGCAGGTGAGTCTTGACGGGACCATCCGCAAGACCCTGCACGAACACCGAAACCAACGTGTGTTCATCAACCGGGTTGGAACTTATACAGCTCGTGAGATGTCGTATAAGTTGCGCGTAAGCGTGCACATCACGCTTACCCTGCTTGAGCTTCAAGAGTTCGGTTCGAGCTCTGAACTCAGCTCTAGGCAGTTCAAACGTTTGTCTGAGCCGCGACTTGAAGACTTACAACGACCTAAACGCATATGGGTCGTGCAACTTGAGCCCCAGTGCCCAAGTCTTGGCACGTCCTGCCAGATTTGACTGGGCAAATGCAACTTGAATTTCCCCATCGTCGTTGCGACGCGCCCTTATGGCGTCGTCTAATTCGACGAACCATCTCAGAAGGAGTCCTCTTCGACTCCCCTATACTTGGAGATGTCAATCTTCAAGGTTTCGGGTTGACGCGAGTTCATCGACCCACCAGCAGCAGCCTGCTGCTGTCTCAACAGTTCAAACTGTTGAGCACCCTGTTCTCTCAACAACTCTGCTTGTTGAGAACCTTGTTGGTGAAGCAAGGCTACTTTCTCGCGTTCAGCGTCAAGTTCATTTAGAATGAACTTGGCGATAGTAGCATGTTAGGCATCTCTACTGAGATCCTCTAGCATGACGCTAACAGCATGGATGCCCATGGTTGAACCCTTTCGTTCAACCGCATCCCATTCGACATCGCTCAAATGGGAGTAGCCGTCACGCGTAGCGTGAAGCTTTGGTAATCTTCATCATCCAACATATTCATGTTAGATGTGAACGTGGTCCTTGACATACTATGAAGTGCTATCAGGTGTTACGGGGCACCCTGAAGCTTGTACTGGTGACAGTACAAGCTACTTATTCTGATGACAGAATAAGGCGGTGCCTCGGAACTTCACGTACACTGGTACGTTCAGAGGAAGACGGTAAGGAGAAGCGAGTACTTGGTTAAAGTAAAAAGTAGAACTGTATTTATAATAGTTAATGTCTGCAATAAATCACTATTTATCCTCATCTAACTATGTCTAAATACAAATGTGTACATCAACTATCTGCTCATCACTCATTGCGTGCGTCTGTCGTGGCGCGTCTTCGTTGGTTGATAAAATGGCCAATATCAACCAATTAGGAACTACTCGTAAGTGCTACAGAATATTTGTCCTTGTGACAATATGCTGAGAATATAACTCTAAAAGTTAAATTCTGTCAACAATTTCTTGCAAATTGTTATGTAACGGTTCACCCCGTTGCATATCTGATTTAGGGGACCAAACGAATCAATGAATTGACAGCAATTAGTGCTCAAGAGTCACTAGCTACCTCAGGGAGGTGTTGCTAACTCTTCGTGATCAGCGATCAACGACCAAAAATGCCTCGCAAGGCATGTGAGTTTAAGATCAAAAGGGAACTGAACTCAATTTACATTTACACCTCATAATACCTTACCTTAATTCAGTACAACTAAGATCCCTCCTATTTAGTAGCTGACACCAGTCGACCCCTATAAACCGGGAAGATATTCTATATCTCTTTCAGTGGGATATCATCCGTGTGTCTAAGACACAGGATACCAGGTACCCAACTATGCGTAACCCCGTTACACCCTCCCCCACCAGACTGACGTTTCCCAAAAGTCAAACGAACCTCGTCCCAATCGAGCGTTCTCATCGAACTTTGTTCTTTCACGAGTTCAGTGCACTTGCGGTTCATTACGGTAACGTTGAAGCTTTTGGCACGATGTCCTCATCACTTAACGAGTCAAAGACTCTCAGTGATGATCTCGAACTGGGGGAGGTTTTGGACTATGGTAGCAATACCAGTAACCCGGGTGATTTAGGGAAGTGTCCGATGCAACCATGTTTGAGGTATAACCTCGTCCTGTCCCCTGTCCGTTCCCTGAACGTGATGATGAAAATTCGTCACTGGCGCCGCGCTCAACCCCCGGTTTGGATAATAACATCATCACGAACTCGCTCGATGAACAACAACCGATAATCCTTTATGAAGGAGAAAGCACTCAGCACCATGCGCAAATGATCGCAACCCTCGAGCACCAACTACTTGACTATGTATTCATTCCACCCAGTGTGGAGGAATGCTTGCGTCAAGCGGCTGGCCAACCGTTGGCAACGTGGATCATTGGCCACAGGCCTAAGTCTCTTGTGGAGGTGGCGAGCGTACAGGCACTTCGCGAGAGGTACCTGGAACCTCACCTTACGAGCCAAGGTCAATACAAGGCACGCCTTGATATGCAAGCACGCGGTGCACCGGTACCACCGATAAATGTAAACCCATTATCTTGTCTGCAGGCTAAACAGAGAGCGAAGAAGACAAAGTATTCGTCCGCTGGGTGCTCCAAATCCCCTCAGCAGTACGTCTGCTCCAAGAGCTGGTGCCAATGTGGCTGATATGCGTCTCGAACGCAAGATTCGGTATGACTATGCCAAGCTTAAGGCCAAAGGCCAATTGCGTAATCCCAAGCGATATGTTTCGGCTACTACGGTAGACGCGAGTGTTGGTCAAAATATGACCTTAACCCGCCAACCCACACCACTAGTGGTGGGAAACGGCCTCGGTATTAAGATGACCTTGGCCGCGATGTTCAAAAACATTCAGAGCATAGGGGCAATCTTTCCGTTGGGGTACCTCGTATTACCAATAGTTCTCAACTTAGGGTACCCACGCCACTTTAATAGATACCAGTAGCGGCCATGACGACGACGTCGTTTCAGTAGTCTCTCGACATGAAATTGACAACACCCATGCTCATCGAGCAAAGTCGGTGGCGGCTAATTTACCGGTGGCAGTCCACGAGAAATTGGTTCTCGAAGTGAAGGATCTTCAAGAGACCCTGGGGAAGACCCAATCTATGATGGATGCGATGCAGAGCCGCCTTCAGGCGATGGAGCCTGCTCAAACTCGGAGCGATGCTCAGTTGGACTTGCCGATTCGCTTGCAGCAATCCGGGGCACCGCCCTCGTCGTCGTCGCCAGCGCCTCAAAGTTTACCTGGTAAGGATCCCGGTGCGGCTTAAGCAAGCCTACGTAAAACACTGGGTGTGTACGCAATTTTCGTGAAAGGTTAAGCGTATACGCAAGGCCCTTCTTGGAGGTGACCGTAAAAGGTCCAATGAAGACTGGACGCAACTTTGTCTTCAAGACAGCAGACACTACATTTGTGGGTAATTTTTTTAGCTTTGAGTTATACTTGGTGTCCGACCTCATAACTTCCAGAACAATTTTTGCCTTTGGCATCAGGTTGTTGTTTTTGTTGATCTTGGCTATCATCCATTGCGTCACGCACATGTTAAAGTACATTCGATCGCGTTGCGAGAAACTCGCCTACCTGTTTCTAAACAGTAGCAGGGCTAATATCAGCAAGCCGATCGGCAGCCCCTCCCCAACCGAGCCCTGAACCACAGAGTAATAGCGTTAGCGGAAAGCGAGGGGTGGTGAGACCGTTAAACTAAAACGAAGTAAAGCCTGTGGAGGCATGAACAGCATTGTTCAATGCAAATTCAATAACAGAGAGGATTGAGCTCCAGCGCCATGGCGTATCAGTGCAAACACTGCGCGAAATTTCATTAATGACGTGATTAACACGCTCAGTTTGACCATCGGTCTGCGGATGATACGCTGTGGACATGTCCAATCGGGTGCCGAGCACCTTAAAAACGACTTTCAAACTTCCTAGTGAAGAGAGGATCTCTACCAACGACAATTGCCACAGGCAAACCATGTTGTCAGAACAAGTGATCGATAAACAGCGTTGCTGTGCCTTCAGCATCAATCTTGTCCGGCACAGCCGCTAAATGATCCACCTTGCTCAGACGGTCAACAAAGACCACAGTACTAGTGTTGCCTTCCGAATCTTTCGGTCGGCCGAACACAAAATCCATACTCATGGATTCCAACACCCAGTGGGTGCAGGAAGACTAGCTAGCGGTGCAGCCGCATGTGCTGAGAGTTTGACTCGTTGACACGTTTCGCACGTACGCAAATAGGTGCTCACCCATTTGTACATTTTGGGCCACCAATAGGCCGGGCTCACCGAGCCATAGGTCTCCTCATGACCGAGATGACCGCTCAAGGCAGCATCATGTGCCTCATAGAGGATTCGATGAGCTAACTCCTCATCCTGAGGAACAGCGATACGAGGGGTATCCTCAGCATCCGTGCGATAGCACAACAGTCCATTATCGATAGAAAATCGATGTAGCCTCGCACATATACGTGCTGACAAGTCCACGTCCGAGTCTATTAAATTATCTATCCCAAGAGCCCGTAGCAAAGCTACACATTGTCCATCCTTTGCATAAACCGCACGGATTAATTCAAAGACTGATGACGACAGTGTCGTAACTTGAGCATGCTCGTAGTCAGGTCAACGGAATAGCGCATCAGCCAAAGCAATTTGCTTTTCTGGCTTGTACTTCACCTCGAAGTTATATTCTGCAAATAAGGAAAGCCAACGAGCCATTCTCTGAAAGAGATGCGGCGACTGTGTCGCAATGCGAAAAGATGCATCATCTGAATAGATCACAAATGGCTTTGAGCCAACCAAATGTACTCTGAATTTGATCAGAGAATACTTCATAGCAATTAATTCTTTGTCATTAACTGGATAGTGCTTTTCAGCAGCTTTAAGCTGGCGAGACTTGAAAGCAATGACGCGCTCGCGTCCATTAACATCTGTTTATAACAGAGCACTGCAAATGGAAAAGTCAGATGCGTCACAGACGACACTGAAGGGCCGATCAGGATCGGGCAAAGCCAATATTGGCGCATGGTAGAGACCCTCCTTAACTGCTTCAAAAGCATCGTGTTCGGTATGACCCCAACACAAATCCACATCCTTTTCAGGAGATTGGATAATGGCCCAACCTTGTCTGCGTACTTCGCTCTATGCTTATGCAAGTAATTGGCATGGCCAAGTCACTTACGCAGATCTTTTTGGTTCTTAGGAACCGGCCAGTCGACTAATGGCCTTTAATTTAGCGGGGTCCGCTCGAAGGCCTCGCTTCCCAACGAAGCACTCCAGAAAAAAATCTCTTCTGCACCAAACATGCACTCATATGCACTTGTATACAGTTTATTCTTGCGCATGCACTCGAGCACCGCTCGTAAATGATCAATGTGGTTATCCACATCTGATCGACCATTCGTTGCACAACTATGGACAAATATGTCGTCAAAGTACCTCTGTGCGTAACCGCGATGAGGTCGGGATAGATACGTCACTAGTCGCTTACAAGCCGTCGATGCATTTGATAGCCCTTGCGGCATAGCGAGCTACTCCCAGAGCATACCGCTCGGAGTACTCATCGCAGTTACCGGAATATTACTCGCTCGCATGAGGAGCTGGTAATAACCGTCGACTAAGTCGAGTAAGCTGTACAATGTACACCCTGCCATATTGTTCTGAATAACATCCTTTCTAGGAATAATCGCCCGCCGGTATAGTTGCTGCATTAAGCTTGTTATAAACATGCATAATGCGCCACTTCCATTTGGCTTCTTGACACATAATTTTGGTGTGGAATGGGTAGATCTTCTCGCACGAACCGTTCCAGCCGCGTGCTTAGCACGAAAGAACTCGTCAATGACGTCATGCAGTTCCTAAGGCAAAGGCCACTGCCGTGTTACGCAGTATTTAGTTTCTTTACTAGGTCAATTTCATGACGTACACCTCAATCGGGGTGTAATACAGACGGTGGGTTGTGTGTGACACACCACATCTTGAATTCCTTTACCGAATGATCAAAGATCCACTTCGGTCACTGAGTACCGCCTTGGTTTCCTCTTGGACAGACTCATCCATTAATGAGGACGAGTTCAACTCGACATCGGGTCTAATGACCTCTAATTCGAATAAATCTTCTGCCTTTAAGGCCTGGCTAAACTCGACATCAGACATATCTTCTAGTTCACGCAGAGCATCTAAAGATGGAAAGGTTTTGAGACTAACATTGCCATCAACCTGACCGGTCACTCCATTCACAAGCGTATATAGTGTATTACTGTTATCACTCAATTACTGTGAGGAAGCCTGGCTCTTAACAGTTGCCACCTGACATCCAAGTCGTCTCTTGGAGACCTTACACCCCTTAGGGGTCGGGATACTACTGCCCCCTTTATCACTACTAGTAGTAGTACGCTCTATCCGAGAGCCGATGTCTTGACCAACATCCGGTGAAGGGTTACATAACTCGAACACTTCACTAAGTGGATTTTCACGTGCCACTTCACGTACATTATGCGGGCCGCGCCTCGAACTGAACGGCGTTTCGCCAACAATTTCATTACCGACGTAAGTGTGGTGCCCTCACGGCCGCCCACACTCGGTGAATTTTCAAGTTCCACCTCACACACATTAAAGGAATCACATCCTTAATAATACGACCCTAGTCCAACCATGCTTCTAGCATGCAGTGACTCGTCGTTATCACAACGAGTAACACTCAACGGATTACGTGCCGTATAAAATAACGAGCTACGCTCGGAATTCATGTTTTTTTAAATTGGAGTTAGATAACTCAGACATTCCAACGTCTAGCACATTGACATCTTCTGTCAAAGACTCGCGTCGATAGTGCTCATGTTTCCTTGCAAAGGTACGCTCGTGAATCCCCAAAAATTTGCTAGGAAAATTGCGCGTAGCGCCTAAGGTCTTATACCTCCAATCATTCCATGGCTCATGGCGCTCCAACCAAGCCATACCTAGGATAATATCATATTTCGAGTCCAAATCAAGGACAAGACAGCGTTTGATGCTATCAAAGTCCAAAACCTTTGCACCTAAGTTCAACGGAGCTTTAGTTACAGTGACACGACTTCCAGTCGCTAAACGAACCGTGACAGAATCACACTCAGGTGCTTTAAACTCTTCAGCATAATGCTGACTTTCCTCATGGGAACGACGCCGAGAATAATTGCAAGACGACCCAGGATTGATTAAAATTGACCAAGGCTTTTCAAAGCCTCTAAATTACGCCTTAGCGACCAACAAGCCAGACTCGTATCCACGATCCATACCAGTAGATATGGAACTCTTTTGGGGTAAAGACTTGTTCAACTTTACCTCCGAAAGGTGTTACAAACCCTAGCTCTCCTCCAATAGGGCGCTCCACGCCTACTGGGTGTAGACATTTCCCCGTGCCATGCCAGGCTTCTGAATCGGGGTAGAGTGTTGATTAGTAGCCTGAAGCTGTCTACGCAAAGGGAAACCGGGTCGCAAGTGTTCAGTGCTTCCGCACGTAAAATACCACCTTACAACACATTGCTGCTCAGCAGCTTAAAGTGCAACTTCATCTTCATCTCCAGCATAGCTGAGATCCATAGGTTTCGGCCATCTAATGGCCGATTTACTCGTGGACTTTGCTCTTGTAGAGCTAGGGTTGTCACCAGTCTAGCCAAGTCTGGCCGACTTGAAGTTATGCTTGGCATTGAGAGCAATTCTCACAGCCTCTTCGAATAAAGGGGTGTGAACCCGAATGAATTTGGTCCTGGCAATGCCAGTATGAGTCCCTCCATATGTACATTCACATGGACTGCCTCGGGCAGAGGGTCAGAATGCATCGCAGTCATGAGAGTTGTCAGCTCCAGGACATATTTCGTTAACCCATTCTTACCCTAACGGGCTGATAGAAAGCTCAAACGCACGCAGTAAGCCTGGTTAGGTGGTGAAAACACGTGTGCCAATTGTGACTGAAGAGACCCCGTGTGGGAAACGCTAAGTTGACCGACGTGCTACATGTCAAGATTCATTCTCTAGCTCTTCCATCGAGCTTTGAGATAGCCAGCGAGACCTGTTAATAGTCAAGCTTGATCGCGCCTGATCTCATGGCAATCTCAATCTCACGGATCCAGATGATGAGGTTTTCACCCTCTTACCGGAGTAGTTTTCAACTTCCACTTTAAGTGGACGATGCCTAGTCTCTTCGTCTGGAACATACACATAACGTGTACGCACAGACGACGTCATTTGGTCTCGAGCCTGCCCTGGAAGGGACGCTTCGTACTGCAAAAAGCCATCAACGTGTGCAGTCAGCACTCCGGGCCTTGCGATACAAAAAAACACATTCTCGGGACCCAAAGATGCAGTCAGCTTATCAAGCGCGACCTATTGGGCCTCAGAGAGAGAAACGGGGTTTTTCATCATCACCGGGAATCAATCATTAAAGAAAAAAACTGTAGATTGACTACAAGTGCTACCAAGTGTAGCGAAACAACAAATCTGCTGTAGTCAGAGGAAGACTTATAGTTATAAGAGCGATGCTAGTGCTGAAGAACTAGACTCTATGAGTCAACAAGCGTAAAGCTTAAGGTCCCTGTTCCAGGGGACCAAACGATTCAGTGAATCTACAGCACTGAGTGCTTAAGAGTAGCTACCTCAGGAAGGTGTTGCTATTTCTTAACAATCAACGATCAGCGACACATCGCAGAGCACGTGACTTAGACAAGATCAAAGGGAAAGTAAACTATATTTACGTTTAACTCTATAGAATTTCATAATCCTAATACTATATAATTTAGACACTCATGTCCTGATTTATCATCTTCAAGATCTTTCTAATCTATGGATGACACCCGCCAGCCCCTATAAACCGATAAGTTATCCTATATCTCTTTCAGTGGGATGCCATCCCGTGTGTCTGAGAAACAGGGTTCCGAGTACCCTACGATGTGTAACCGCTTTACAGTTGTGGTCGTCATTGGTTTGTTTTTGTCTTGGTTGTCCATTTTGCAAGCGTCATCTTGGACGTTGTTGATGTTGTAAACCTCATCGCCATTTGCGTCCCTGTCCAATCTCCGTTGCCATGTTAGCTTCCTTCCAAAGATCAATCGCATTTCTCGTCGTTTACATCCATTTCTTCGGCTTTATTTTTTTGTCACTTTCGATACCTGAGTTAATATCTGAGTCTTTTCCTACCCTGTCGGCGATCTTTTTACACAGTGGAGTGATCTTATGATAAAATGGCAGGCTCATCCCTGCAGCTTATATCGGTCGAAGATTCTGATAATTAACATAGCGAGCCACGCATCAGTCAAGGAAGTCCAATCATGAAAAGATCAAACACAGGTCCGTACAAGACAGTAGAAGAACGACAGTGAATTGCACTTGGTCACGATTGCTCGATGTTGTTAGTGTCTATTCAATCACAGCTGAAGACCACTTGATGAGCGGAGAGTGTGGCGGAGACGGATGGATCAAATACACTTTTAATTTAGCAGTCACCCCAATGATTGACCATCTTTAGTTGATCGACGTACATGAAACACCAAAAGGTAAAGCTCTAGTTATTCGTGTAGTAGCTGCTACAGTATCTGCTAGCTAGTCTGTCCTTCTCTGCCGTCAAGCCGCTCCCGCGTAGTTGTGTGCTTGAAAGCAGTGTAGGTCGTCGACAGATAAGCGACATGGGGAACGAAATTTGATTCAGCAAATGGAACGATCATTCGTACGTTCAGATTCGTGACGAGTGCACGATGGATCGTCCCGGTGGGTTTAGGGCGCTCGACCCGACAAGGGGACTACGAACGTCTGTACGATAATCGCATCGGTAAGCAGCGAGCCATCCATTTTCTTTGAACCACGTGGCTATTAGAAACCCAGTTGGTCAATTATTTCGATGCACTGCTCATGATCAAGTAACTTGCCGCCGGTTTCGCTGATCACTCAATTGCTACCGCTCTACTGTGCGATTAGACGATGACAGGAGTTTGTTCATGCAAAGCCTAACGCCCGAATCCGGCTACCATTCGATCGATAGACCCACTTTGCTCAGGTGCGACACGTGGAGACTATGTCTTCTTTGCGCTTCCATATCCGTCACATAAGCCAGCACCTGGTCTCGGCATGGGCATGTTTTTGGTCAGCTAAGAAGGGCTGCATCCTGTCTAAAGATGTCTTCTACCTCGATATTCGAAACGAGGCGCTAGAGACACCTACCAACTTCGTTTTGTCAGGTGAACCTCATTCAACAGTGCTTTTTATTCAACACGCAGCTTTCGAGATGGATAAACGGACGTGTAAGCGCCTTGTAAGCAGCAGTGGCAAGCGTAGTCGCCGCTCTTAGAATGTCTATCATCACAACGAACTGCGAGTCGTGGATTTGAGCTAACGCACGTCAATGGCGGCTGTCCCGCAGTGTTTATGAGACTTCGTCGTCGGCCGCGTGGATTTTCCAAGCCACGCCAGAGCTATGTCCGTGTTGTGGTCTCGTGCTTTGCAGACGAGGTTTATGCCCATGACCGAGGATACTCAACGCGACATGCTAGCAGAGGGTAGGGCAGGAAGGAGTGAGTGGGTGCGTGGGAGCTGGAATGGTCTCACATCCGATCATTTCCAACGTCATCCTTTTCTGATGAAGGAAGAGCGCGTAGTGCTGACGTTCTTTGCGTCTCTGATTATGGACACGACATGCGTTTCTAGAAGTTGCTAAAGCAGTACTCAGAGGGTTTACGGATTCTCGTTCATCTGATCCGTCGCAAATTTGGACCGCAGCTCGCAGCAATCTTCCGTAACAGAAACATGGCGCTTCAAGCTGTTGGAAGAGGCTTCGTGCTGTTGGAAGAGGCTTCGAGCTCTTTCCAGGCTTTGTGTGGCCAAAGTTGCCAGTTCAAAGAGAAGCTTTCGTCTGTCCAGACCATCACGAGGTCAGCCACACACGATTGCTGGATCATCTAACATCGACGTCGCGAACCAGAATGAGGCGGCGTTCTGACGTCGTTTCACCCTCCAAACCGCTCAGATAGACTGTCGATTCGTCCCTCTCTCGCTCGTCGCCTATCCAGGCCCGTACTTTTTCAGCAGGTTGGACACAGCTCGCCTGTCGATGCGTCGTCGTCAATCACCCATAACCAGCTCGATGGCTCGGAGCACCTAAGGTGACTTGCTGTTTGTAAGGGCCAACTCGTTTCCGAGCCCGAACTTGTCGTTTTTGCAAGAGGTCGACACACCCACCCACCCACCCACCCACCCACAACCCCCTTCGTCGACTGCCCGAGTGTGTAACGCGTGCAGACGCTCGTGCCCGCTCCGAGCCACTGGATCCCTCACCTGTCTCAGCTAAACTAGCAGCTGAGCATCTGCGTCGTGTCGTGGCTATGCACTGAGAAGCCAGACGAGGGAGCTCTCCTGGCACCTGAGCCCCTCCCCGTCAAGACTCGCAGCGACCTGCTCCGGTCTCTGAGTCGCTCACTTTGCCTTTTGCCAATCACCACGCAATCGACCTCAATCCCTCTCTCCTCTTCCTTCCTTCACGCGATCGATCAATCACTCGATCGACCATGAGCGCCTCCTCTCCGTTCCGTGCTGCAGCTTTGGCCGCCCTGGCCGTCGTCTCTGCCGACAACTACGTCTCGGTCTGCCGTGACGCGACTTACAGCGTCGCGACCTCCAACGGCGTCATTTGCTCCGGTGCGGGTGACGCCCCCGCCGGCACGATCTGCCCCAAAGCTGGGGACATGGCTGCTGGCGACTGCCACCCGTACTTGCCCTCGTACGACGGCTCTCAGTGCACGGCCAAGGAGGACGCCGTGTGCGCCATCGTGACCGGCAGCACGTGGGGCTGCGTCTTCCCGTCCGTGGGCTGCCACGACAGTGCCATGACGCCGGGGGCTCAGCCGCCGATGCCGGACGCCAACATGTCCATGAACCCTCAGATGCCGGACGCGAACACGATGCCGGGGACTCCTGAGACTGCGTCTGGGATGATGCCCTCGGTCACGTACGACCCAACTGCTGGTGGAAGCCAGGGCATGCCGTCTGGCATGACTCCTGTAGTCCCGGAGGGTGGTGTGTCGTCCGACAAGCCAATGCCTTCTGGTGAAGGTGGAGAGGCTGGTGGCCCTCCGACGCCAATGACGGTCCCACAAGCGACCCCCACGGGGACGATTCCGGAGACCACGACGGTGAACCCGGAGACCACGGGGATGAACTCGGAGACTACGGAGTCGAAGCCAGAGACCACGATGTCGAACCCGGAGACCACGGAGATGAAGCCGATGGAGATGACGACGACGCCGCCATCTGTTCCCATGGGGACGCCAGCTGATCCCATGACGACTTCGGAGACTACCCCTACGACGTCAGCTGGTGCGCCTGAGGTGGAAGAGAAGACGACGGCCATGGATCCGATGCTGACGGCTACTCCTCAGTAGACGAGCACGTCGCTCACTCGTACCGACGGAGTAAAGTCGAGGAGGTCGGTCGTGCTGTGGATTTCGTGTCGCCTATTGCTTGTGAGAACTTGATCTCTTTTCGAGGGACGGATGGATGTGCGTCTTGCTGGGGGATGATTCGTTCGAGTAGCTTGAAGCGCATGAGGAGCGACAGTTCCGTCTGTGCGTGATCCGACCTAATTGCATGGTGTGAGCACTCGCTCACCTCAATATTTGCGTTCCATCCGTGGTGTTTTCATTTCATGCCTTGATGGTGTTTCTTCTGATCATTATCGCTTGTCATCACTAGGTCCTACACTGAAACTCCTCCTAGTTGTCATCAGCCATTAGAGTCTTGTGTTGTCGAAATAGACGCGGTGCCGAGGTCGATGAGATGGGGCCACATTAAAGAAGAACCCAAAGGTCAGGCTAGAAGCATCTGAGCAATCGGAACGGCACTGACACGCTCCATGTGGTTGGCATTGAACAGCGCCGCGACAAACCGCGGGGATTGCTCGTGGGAACACCAATTCGAGCAGCAACTTCTCATCTGCAGGCAAGGCTGCGCTGTGTAGCACATTAGAGACGCAGCAATCATCCATGGCGGACGCGTAATGCCTCGGACTTGAGAATCGATTTTACAGTAATCTTGTGATGGCCACTCGAGTTGTCATGCGAAGTCTGCTCCTGAGACTCAAACCGTCCTCCTACGATGCATCTGCATGACGAAGGGTACGTTTAGACGCAGACACGATCGCATTCGGTACTCAAGCAACCGCGTCACTTGGTGCCACACTGAATGCGGGAGCGCCATTTAGTTTACAATACGACGACGCGTGGCTAGTGCAGTGGCTATCTGCTTCTACCTAGCAAAGGATGTGGGGCAACAGGCAAGCTCTATGTTTATTACCGAAAGGTACATGTACATCGGGTGCTACCCAAGTCTTTTGACGGCGAATACACGATCTCGGAAGACTCATTCACCACATTGGAGCTCTATGTCGCTCACAATCTAGCAGGTACTAACCCAGCAAAGCAAACTAGAGCTCCGGAGAAGTTCATCCAGCTAGATCGCTCTTGCTTGGCGGACCGTACGAAGCATACACGCATCGCGACAAAAGCATTACCGGTGGACGTGACACAGACTGCGGTAGTTCAAACGTGCACGTCGTCATCTACATAACATGTGAGATATGTGACTGCGCGGATTGCTCTATCGTCTCCAGCGTTTGCCTCCATCGGTCAAGTTTAACCCATCGCGGTGTTGGCCTCTCCGTACACACTGAGGTCCCGCTAGGGATTTCACACCGATGGAGGCTGCCTCAATGCTGCGGTTGAAGTGGTAAGTTGTTTGAGCGAAGCGTAAAAAGTTCATGTGAACAAAAGGACTACTCACGGCGGGACTTGAACCCGCAATCTCTGCCTTAGGAGGGCAGCGCCGTATCCATTGGGCCACGCGAGCATCATAAAAACTTGTCGCAACATACATGTATAAATATAAAACATGCATCGATTTCATTTGCATTTTAACATTATAAGGTCACCTGACATCTCTCAGGAACCAAGTTCTTGCCCTCTAGGATGGTGCTCTTAGTCACGCGGCTGCACAAAGTGCGCGTACCAGCTATTGCTTACATCACATCATACCTATGATGTTAGCAAATGTCTATTGCGTACTATTGTATGTACTCAGCTGGGTCCCTCGCTGTGGTTGCTGCTAAGACAGCAATTAATGCTGCAGTCGGCTTCCGTCTCACTCTCTCCGTCTCTCGCTGCTACTTTGTTAACCAACTAATGTACCGCTTCCTACGGTTTGCTCAGGGCAACATCAATTGGATTGTCGGACGCTACGCGCGCTCGCTGTTCACAGTCGTCACATGTGTCGGGATGACTTGACAGAAGGCACTTCAGAAGCTTGCGACCTGACCTCATTGTTTTCGATCGCGGTCCCGTCCCAATCGTACCCTGCAAGATCACCATTTGGCCCTCATCTGCAGCAATTATGCCGGGCTTATCTTGTACTAGACCTCGTACTGATAAGCCACATCTACCACATGTTGGAGCTCTACTGCAAACTATCGACAGTAATGTAGAACTCACGCGCCCACAACACAAAGCATCACTGCGTCAATCACATCGGATCCTTCCCACATGTGACTATTGTCCAGCAGCCTTGCAATTGCGTACTACCGGACGTGGCGTTGCCATTGACAAGAACATTTATGTTAACTAGCACTTCTGCGGTAATTCAAACCGAGCCGAATTACGTGATGAATGCACGCTCGGATCAAGTGATCCGTTGGTCGCGAGGTGTTGTGTTCTACTTAGTGCAGGGTCTTGCAGATGGCGTGTGTACGAGAAGCATCTTCTTGCGAAAGCCAAAAGCGGAATGCACAAGAGCAGAAGAAGGGCTCTTGCAGCGTCACTGCTTCTGTCTCCCTGGCTGCTTGCACCCTCTCGCTTCCAAGCTACTTGGTCATGGACTCCAGCTGCTTCTGCGTGACGTCCGCTCAACTTCTTCGGCTGCAATCTTTTGCTTTCAGCGGTACCAGAGAAGTCTTGCGAGGCAGTCGGTTTGCTGTCTTTGAGATGATAACGGATACCGATGAACGGGATGACGAGACAGCCGCAGGGAATTGCCCTCATGCGTAATACAAGGCCGTTGCGGGGAGTACGTCCCGACCAAATGGAAGATCAGGCGGCACGATGCAAATGAGACATCCCAATCCCAAACGTGACCCAGTGTCATGGCGGTCACGAACACGACTGAATTGGAGCGAATGGCGAGTGAGATACCTGATGCAGTGGCAAGCGCGAACACTGGCCTCGAGAAGTATCAAGTGCGTGAGGCGGCTGATCTCGATAAGCCGAGGCACATGTCGACTTTGCTGAGAGAATCATCAGCATTACCAGTTTAGCCATGACTAAAGCGTAGTGACCGGTTTGATGTCATCGATAACGGGGTTGCAAGCACGACCATTTGCACAAGCGCCTCCAAAGGAACTGGACAGATTGTAACTGTGAGCTCAATACTCGTGGATTATCCACAGGCATCGACGCCATCCTTCACCAATTCCAAGTCTACATGGTGGTAGCACGAAAGAAGCACACAAACAGATGACGACGCATCTTCGCGGTATTCGGCCTCCCAGGTAATTACATCTCTTCTTACTGCGGTCAGACTGCGGTCAGGTTGCCAACCTCAATGCGGCACAGCTGCAGTTTCTCGAAACTGACCAACTTCTCGAGACTGGACAACTTCTCGTTGCGTTAAAATGTTGCAGCGCCTCACCAACGTTCATATCACCGCGTAGCTCCGTCATGACTTTTTCTTAGGCCTTCTCACGACGTCCGTAAAGCTCGACCGTATCGTAAACTTCATCACGTAAAAGTTTGGCGAGACGAGAGCATCCTTGTAGCACCATACAAAGTCGTCCCAACGACATGACCTTGATCAAAGCGCAGGTAGAGTGCAACCATTTCACATCGAAGTCAAAGCCATCTCAGTGCAGTGGCTGATCCGTGTGGAGACGAAATCAGTAGTCGTATCGACAGAAACGCTTGCAGAGCCGACACTGGCCTTGCACGATCCAGCAACGATCGCAAGCAGTCAAAGCAAACACAATAATCTGACACAACTATCATGGCAGTAGCAGCTTCAATAGCACAATTGGTTGTAGCAGCATTCGCATGCGGCACGTTTCAGCCCAATCGCTTTCACTCGACAAGCCATGCGTGGACGACCTACGATTACGGACGTCCATTGGGTCTTAGTGTGGCAAAAGTATGATGCAGACTTGCTCACAAGCCACGCTTTCCATCTCTCATAGTGTTTATACGGGCGTGGCTGAGCTGACATGGGCAACAGCGGTCCTGCGCGCGAGCTGTCGTTCTCAGCAGAGCACTGATGTGGAAAGTGTGGATACATGTTGAGTTCCCGAGTTAGTCCATCGGGACGTGTGATACGATGACGATACGTCAGTAGGCATCCCGTTCGATACCTCCTGTCGCTACCAAAATGCCGTAACGATAAAAGATTGAGCGCCACCCACTCGAGGTTCAGAACGCCATTGCTTTCTGTTGGCATGCTCAACCCTTCTTGGGACTTCCATAGATTAACGCAAGAGACTTCAGTACCGCGCATTGCAGTCAGCCGAATCGGTGATGATATCATGCAGCGTCTCACCTCAAAATTCGAGCGAAGCAAATTCATTACACGGACATGCTGGAGAGGCACCAATCAGCGAAACTCGATCGATCTTCTACTTATAGACTTGCTTCATCCTCTGCCGGATACAGGCTCGTGCAGAAGAGCGCCTCATGTCGCAGTTCGCTCGCGGTCACGGAGAGCTGTTCTTGCGCTGCGCTCATCCCAATGCACTCCATATTGGGCCTTGTGCATAGTAACAGCTATCACTTCCGGGATAATGCTTCTCCACAATCGCACTCAACCCAGTCCAATAAACGGATTGCACACCATCGCATCTTACATCGTCGATGCTGCTATCATGCTACCATCCTTCGCTTCGCAAATAATCCAGACATCTAGCAACACATAAGCAACCTTTGTTACTACGCCCTTAGCACCACACACTCTGCAAGAACGCAAGCACAAAATCACACAGCAACGCGTGCGACCTACCTCACATACGGTCCACAGCTTCAACTCCAACAAGTTGCATACCGCGTCGTAATACTGCGTCGGTTGCAGCGCACAGCAACAGACGACTATCCTGACGAGGGTCTTGAAGCACACGGCAGTTCTCGTAGAAACCATGGAAATGGCATGCCACGCGGTACAGATAATCACACAAGTAGTGAGGGTACAGATGGGCCAATGCTGCAGCAACTTCGTCATCGAACTGAGCAAGTAATAGCGCTAACGCGCGCTCAGACGGGTGCCAGTCAACTGACGCACGCGCCAGCACGTCTTGAGCTGCTATGACATCGCTTGAAAGACCGAGATACGCGTCCCACGATATCTGGTCCTTGCCGCCAGCTTTGCGGAGAATACCCTGAAGTCTCGCAGACGCATACATAAGGTACACACCTGTGTTGCCTTTCAAGTTAAGCACATTGCTCATGATGAACTTGTAGTTTCGCTCACGCTGCTGAGCCAGTTCAAAGTAGCGCACTGCCGCATCGCCGACGACACGATTTTGGGCATCGACCTGTTCTTGTGTCAAATTGAGCTCGCTTGCGACAACTCCTGTTGTAGCTGACGCCAGTGCTTGACGTGAGCACTCGACCGCAGCGCCATCCAGCAGATCCTCGAGGTAATCAAACGCTCCGTTCCGCGAGCTCAGCTTCGTCCCGTCGTGGCCCAGCACGAGACCAAACGGCGCGTGAGTCAACTTGACGTCGTCTTTGTTCCGTCGTCTGGTCCATCCTGCTTTCCTTGCTGCTGTAAACAGGTGCTGGAAGTGCAGCTGCTGGCTCTGGTCCGTGACGTACACGATCTCGTCGTACAAAGTCTCGTCCACGCCTGGGAATCCGTAAATGCGCGAGTACAGGCACGCGAGGTCCACGGTCGCGTACAAATAGCCGCCATCGCTCTTGCGGAGCAGCATGGGCGGACTGTCCGGTCCGTCGAGAAACACACCGAGCGCGCCTTGCGACGACACGGCCAGGCCGCTGTGCTCCATCATGGCTACAACGCGCGCCACGAGCGGCAGGTACGTGGCCTCGCCCCGCTCCTGGACGTCCACGCCCAGGCGGTGGAAAAGCCGCACGTGCGCTTCGCGACTCACTTGACACGCGCGCGTCCACGTCTCTCGAACCCGCGGGTCGATCGTCTGCTCGTCGCCAGTTCCCAGACGCTGCAATTGCCGCACGACGTCGTCGACTTTGCTCTTGAACTGTACAGCCGCCACCTGCTCGCTAGCTGTAGGCAGTGTAGCCATCACCACTTTGCGCTTGCCCGCCTCGTAGCACGTGCCCAGCGCCGCGTCCGTCAGCGTCGCGAGCTCCACGCGCTGCTCCATGAGCTCCACGATGAGCGTCGCCAGGGCCGCGCCCACGTCGCCCGTGTGACTCACGCGCGCCACGCGATGGCCGCGATGCTCGAGCAGGTTGCAGATCGTGTCGCCCAGGACGGCCGAGCGCAGGTGCCCCACGTGCAGCTTCTTGCCCATGTTGGGCGCGGCAAAGTCCACGAGCACGCGCCTTTGCTGGGCGTGAGGGAGCTCAGCGGGCTGCACGCCGCGTGTAGCCATGTGCAGCGCCTGCCGCGCGATCCACTTGTCGGCCAGGACGAAGTTCACAAACCCGCTCTTAGACACCGAGGTCGACTGCAGGAGAGGGGCGGACGGGTGCTCTTCAACTGTAGGTAAAACTGCGACGAGCGCGGTGGCCAGCTCGTCGGGAGTCGGAGCGTCTGCGACACGCGCTGCGCCCGGCGGGGACCGGCGCCCGAACTGCAACGCGAGACTCGTCTGGTAGTCGGCGTCCCGTTGCGCCGAGCGACGCACGCCCAGCGCGGCCGCTGGAAGCGATGCGGCATCGAGCGAGGGCAGAGCTAACACTTGGAGAGCACGACGCAACGCGTGGCGCAGGTGCCACGTGCACGAGAGCGCGTGGGCCATGGATCAATTATGGGTCCTTTCGGTGATTTGGGTCAGAAATTGGGGACACGCGTGGTCCGGACTAAATGAGTCACTCGGTCGTGCTGCTTCCGGGATGAGTCGACCTTCGTTAGGTCATGGGTTTGGTCAGCTGCCAGATGTGGCGCTGACGAAACTTGGTCTAAATGTGATACAAGCTGGAAATTAGCAGTGGCTCTCAGATTGGGCAAATATCACGTTTCGACAGGAAATTTATTCTGATTTCGCACGTTGCAGTTTTGTCGGCTATGGGGTATGCTGCATGCAGACAAAACAGGATAGGCAATAAACTGTATTTTACCGGAAAGACATCCTTCGCAAACCAAAAGTCGGGTGTGGATTGTGCATACTCTGCTATAGGATGTGGAGAATTCTGTAAGCAGTCTGGTCGTTGTCTTAGTGTACGCCGAGTAGAAAGCAGGCATCACGTTGATCTATTCGGTCCTAGTAATCCTTTCTGCGACGAGTCCGATATGCCTAATCATACAAACTGTTCTCTCGTCCTCCCTGGTTTTGTAGCCTCGTTCAGAATAACGTCTTCGGTCAGCTACGGCTAAGCACTCTCCTCCTCTTTAGTGTAAGTGGTGGGAACCCACCAGATCGACATGGTTTCGGACAAGCAGCTGATCGAGCTTAGCCACCACCTCCTGTATCTGCTCGAGGGTACGATTGGCTCGTTCCGTCCGACCATCGGACTCTGGATGATCAGATGTTGACATCTTCAAGCGCGTTCCGAGTGATTTGAACACGGAACGCCAGAAATCAGCTGTGAAGCGTGGATCTCTGTCTGATACGAGTTCACGGGGCAACCCATGCAGTCGGAAGATGGTGTCGATAAAGACACAAGCACAGCCACTTGCTGTGATTGACTCTGGTACAGCCACTAGGTGTACCATTTTGCTGAATCTGTCAACAAATACGAGGATACCCGTATTCTCATGCGTCTTTGGGCAACCCGAAGACGAAATCCATTGAGATGGATTCCCAGCACTCAGCCGGAACCGGTAGAGGCTGTAAAGGTGCACGCAGTGAAGGACTTAACTTCACTCGTTGACAGACTTCGCATGCGCGAACATACTTTCGCACAAACTGATACTGGCGGAGCCAGTAAAAGTCTCGACTCACCGTGAGATGTGTTTTCTCCCGGCCACGATGTCCTCCTATAGGAGCATCGTGATACTCGAGCATGATCCGCAAACGCAGATCAGTATCATCTGGAATGACAACACGTGGTGTGGCACCAGAAACGGCTGTATCATACAGTGAACCGTTACGAGTAGTGTATCGATCTGATGCAGATCGATACGCAGGCGACAATCGTTTCAACGATTCTCGAGAAGGCTGTGAGAGATGTGTCAACAACTTCACAATCTCACCATCTTGGGTATACGCCCGCCTCACATCATCATACAACGTTGTAGATGGGACTGAGGACGTCATAACCGCAACAGTGACTGTCTCACTGTTGGGTTTCGCGACTGTTTCAAAGTCGGGACGACGTGAGAGTGCATCAGCGACGACATTAAGTCGTCCTGGTTTGTACTCGACCGTAAAGTTGTATTCCGCAAAGAATGACAACCACCGCGCCATTCGTTGTGAAAGGTGCGGGCTGTTCACTGCCGTGCGTAATGACGCATGGTCAGTGTAAACGACGAAGGGTCTATCTCCTAATAGATAGACTCTGAACTTCGCGAGTGCATACTTCATGGCAAGGAGTTCCTTGTCATGCACTGGATAGTTTCGCTCAGCTGGTTGCAGCTGACGCGACTGATAGCAGACGACGCGTTCAACGCCTTCAAGATCGTACTGCATTAATGCACAGCCGATTGCGAAATCGCTGGCATCACAGACCACATGAAATGGCCTGTCCTGATCGGCTATTGCTAGGACTGGGGATTGTATCAAGCTCTGCTTGATACCCTCAAAGGAGCGTTGACATTCAGCGTTCCATAACCACCTCTCGTTCTTTTTCAACAAACGAGAGAGGTGCACAGTCATCTCGGCGTAATTGCGTGAATACTTATGCAAATACGCCGCTAGCCCAAGGAATTTTCGAAGACCTTTGACATCGACTGGCACAGGCCAGTCGGTGATCGCCTTGATCTTTTCGGGATCAGGACGTACACCGTTCTTACCAACGATGCACCCAAGAAGTGGTATTTCGCTTGCTGCAAATATACACTTCTTGAGGTTAGCATACAATTGATGCTTTCGCATGATTGTAAGAACTTGTCGGACGTGGTACCTGTGAACCTCAACGTCCGACTTTCCATCCATAGCTCGACTATGGATGAATACGTCATCGAAATAACTCGGCGCGAATTCTCGTACTGGTCTCAACAGATGTGATACACATCTGTTGAACGTGGCAGGGGCATTACTGAGCCCTTGTGGCATTACTAGCCATTCCCAGAGCATGCCGCTAGGCGTGCTAACTGCGGTATAGGGTATATCCCGTTCTCGCATGAGGATTTGATAGAAGCCATCCATCAAATCCATGGACGAAAAGATGGTACTCTTTGACATACCATCAATGATTACGTCCTTCCTGGGTATCGGCTACTGAGCCGGTAACGTTGCAGCATTCAACTGGTTAAATGCATGCACTATCCGCCACCCTCATGTTGCTTTTCGCACACAGAAGGTCGGAGAGCTATGTGGGGAAGTTGATTCCCTCACATAACCTGCAGCTAAACGATCGGCAAAGAACTTGTCGATCGCAAGTACTTGTTCACGAGGCAGTGTCCACTGCTTCATGACACAGTACTTCGAGCCTGGTTTAAGCTCGACCTCGTGTCGAATACCTTTATCCTTCGGTAATTCGCACGGAACAGTTTCAGGGAATACATCCTTAAATTCAACCAAATCTTCATAGAGAGGATTCTTCTGGAGCGATTCCCACGATTGGGAGTCATGTCGCTCAATTCGTGTCTTTTCATCTAGGACACTCTCGTCCATAGATGAACTACTGAGAACTCTCTCGTTCTCAGTAAACACTGTTGCTGACCTTATGTAGGCTACGCACTCGTCTTCAGCGACGAGTACGCAGATCTGCTTGACTTTGCCACTACGCAGATCACGCGAGAACCTTTTATGTTCGAGCGTTGGCAACTGAGTGATCTCCGAAGTCAACTTCAAAGGCGCAATCAGATCAAGTGTATAAGCGCCTACACTTGATCCGTTATTGACTATGACATTCAATGTCTCTGTCATTTCCTGGGGACTTATTCCCTCAGGCTTCGAAGGACTTATTCCTTCGTCTTCCCGGGGACTTATTCCCGCGGGTTTCGGGGAACTTATTTCCGCCGTATTTGTAATATCGGGACTTATTCCCTTAGCTTCCTCTAGCTGTGGTTGCGCAATTACAGCGAGATCCTCTACGAAAGAATCTCCAGTATATCTAAGATTATCGTTTCGCTTAACCTGAGCGATCGATTGTTTCTCTTCTAGATGTTCCCCACTAGGGATACATCTTTGTCCCAGTCCACCCGAATTATTCGAGTGGTGGACCTTCGGCGCAGCCTGTGTTTCCTCACAGCCACCGGAAGCTTGCTCCGAAGTGTAACTGTTATTACACTAAGGTTTCGTCCAGTCGTACTAACGACCGTACCACAAGTGTGGCCATCGCACTCACTCGTAGTACATCCACACGCTTGTGGACGCTCCAAAACGTTCATCAGATGGCCATCTGATGAACAAGCGGCAGGCATCGTTACTGTTCGATGTTGCCAGTTTACTCGTGGTTCGTACCTTCTGAGCCACGGTATTCCAAGGATGACATCAAATTTGTCAGCCAAATCCAGTACGATAAAGTCATCGTCATATTGGGTATCTTCTAGCGTATAGTGGATCTTCACTATACGTTTCATGACGGTTACGGATGCGCCTGTCGCAAGACGTACCTTCATCCTCGTAGGAGGTGTGTCACATTCACTGAATTTAAAGTGACCATCTTCTAGCGATTGGCGTCGCACAATATTGTTGGACGCCCCACAATCGACTAGAGCTCGAAGGGACAACTTATTCGTCACTTCGAGTTTCAAGGTAATGAGTGAGATCTCATTACCTAGAGCAGCAACGCACAACGTCTGTGTGTTGGGAGCAACCTTCATCAAGAGGCCTACAAATTCTCTTGACGTTGCTGGATCAGTAGGGTGCTCCGCACCTACTGATCCTGTCCGTTTTTTGACGGTCCATCCCGTTGTTGCGTCTTTGCACCAACTGCGGACCCTCGTCCCTGCCCCTTTCTCATGGGTGGACGGTCACTACGCCCAGTGTCGCGAGACACTGGACGAGGGGCACTACACTCGTAAGCGTAGTGTCCTGTCTTTTGACATCTGTTGCATCTCTGCAACCTCTTGTAGCCTGTAGAGCGAGCCTTCTCGCTCTCTACATAACAGAGTTCCATCGGCTCTGGACCTCCGTTGTCGTATCGTCTCGGTTGACGATATGATGTCGAGCTGGCGCGAGCCTGTCTCAGACTGAAGTCTTCCTGCTCCGCAATTGAAATGGCTTGTTCTAGTGAATCTAGTTCAAGCCGGAACAGGTGAGTCTTGACGGGACCATCCGCAAGACCCTGCAAGAACACCGAAACAAACGTGTGTTCATCAACCGGGTTGGAACTTATACAACTCGTGAGATATCGTACATGTTGCGCGTAAGCGTGCACATCACGCTTACCTTGTTTGAGCTTCAAGAGTTCAGTTCGAGCTCTGAACTCAGCTCTAGGCGGTTCAAACGTTTGTCTGAGCCGCAACATGAAGACTTCTAACCACCCAAGCGCATATGGGTCGTGCAACTTGAGCCCCAATGCCCAAGTCTTAGCACGTCCTGCCAGATTTGATTGGGCAAATACAACTTGCATGTCCCCGTCGTCGATGCGACGCGCTCTTATGGCGTCGTCTAATTCGACGAACCATCTCAAAAGGGAGTCCTCTTCGACTCCCCTATACTTGGAGATGTCAATCTTCAAGGTCTCGGGT